AACAATTCGGGACCTGTCTATCTTCGTGATCGCATCTTCCCCTACGAACCTTTGCAATCTCTTTTTTTTTTTAAAAAAATTTTTTTTATTGATTTTTATTTTACAAGTTTACATTAAAAACAAGAGGTGAACACAATAGGGAAGTTGGAGGGTGAAGGGAAGGGTGGGGAAGAAAAAAGGGAGGAGAGGATAGGGAAAAAAGAAGAAAGAAAAAGAAAAAAGAAAGAGAGGAGGGGAGAGGGAAAGGGTGGAAAAGACTAGGGCAGGGCATGGGTACTTCCAGGTTCATCCAGGGTGGTACTCATATTGCTATAATTCCGTACACTAGTAGATTTGTACAAATAATATATTCTTCTAATTATTTGTCCGTGTGTATACATATCCTACAGCATACACATTTGTTTCCTTGCTTGCGTTACTCGTCGTCTTTTTGTTTGTATAGTCCTTGGATTCCATTACAGGTCTATTATATACATCTCTTTATTTTCCCCTTTTATGAAATCTAACACTACTTTCCAGTCGGTTCTTTGGGGTTTTGCGTAATTTTGTGAAATTCTTTGCGTCAGTATATCCATGTTTATTATGTCGATTATTTTTGTTATCCATTGTTCCGTTGTTGGGATTTCTTTGGTCTTCCACACTTTTGCTAATGTTATCCTTGCGGCTGCTATTAGATAGAAAAATATCTTGTCATCGTTTCTTCCCCAATTTAAAATCTAGTAGACCTAATAGCAATGTTTCAGGTTTTGGGTCCAATTTTATGTTAAAGATTTTTTCTATCTTTTTGTGTATTTGTGACCAATAATTTTTTACTTTTCTACAGTTCCACCACATATGGATGAATTCACCTTTTTTCTTTCCACATTTCCACATTTTCTTTCCACGAACCTTTGCAATCTCTAAGATCCTCTGGGGAGGCTCTCCTCTCGCTCCCACCTCCGTCACAAGCACGGCTGGTGGGGACGAAGGAGAGGGCCTTCTTGGTGGTGGCCCCCAGCTCTGGAATTCTCTCCCCAGGGAGATTAGGCTGGTTATTTATTTGTCGTGTCAGGGCAACCAGTCAATTGTATTGCATTTCTAACAGAACAAAACAAACAAACAGACAGAACACAACATTTGCAAGTCTGGTAGTTGATTAAATGTCCTTTGACCAGTATCTGGCCACTTGGTGTGCCTCTGGTGTTGCCGCAAGAAGGTCCTCCATTGTGCATGTGGCAGGGCTCAGGTTGCATTGCAGCAGGTGGTCCGTGGTTTGCTCTTCTCCACACTCACATGTCGTGGATTCCACTTTGTGGCCCCATTTCTTGAGGTTGGCTCTGCATCTCGTGGTGCCAGAGCACAGTCTGTTCAGCGCCTTCCAATTAGGCTGGTACCCACCTTCTTTCACAAAGACCTAAAAATGTGGATGTTCCACTGTGCTTTTGATTGGACGGTTCCCCAAAAAATCTTGGCCTCCAGCTATGACCCAAAACTCAGTCCTTGCACTTTACTACTGGCCCCTGCCCAGAGATATAGTGTTCCACCTCATGTTGCATTTTATCCCCAATCACGTTAATTGATACTTACACTTTATTGATCAGCCCTTTCCTCACAGCTATTTGTGCCCCCCCCCCCCCCCCCCCCGTTCCCTAATAGTCTCCCATCCCAGGTACCGACCAGACCTGACCATGCTTAGCTTTCAGGTAGCTTGGGGCATCTGCATAGTGTCCTGATTGCTAATCCCATTGTATCTTTTTCTTAACTTCTACAAACCATGAACTTGTGTAAAAAAAAACCCTTCTCGCCACTTTGAGGGAAATATGGGTGGAATTCACTAACCTCCGTTTATTTTATTTTTTTGCAGTGCTTTGTGCCAAGAACCTTGCAAAAAAGGATTTCTTCAGTAAGTAATTGGCAAATGCCTATACATTTTTTTCATGTTTGTTTTTCCCCGCTCTGCATATTTAAGCTATTATACTGACGTTAGCCTTTTCCTTGTGTGTTTCCTTCAGGGGCATTTCAGGATAATTTTCTCAGAAATCAGGACTGTCTGAAATTTTTGTTGTGCAAATTATGTAGCAGCAGGCTGTCCTCTCCCCTTATGAACCGCTTAAAATCTCATCTCAGCCCTGACAACCCTGGGCAAGTACATTTTTGTCCCTTCTTGTTTCTCATCCTGCTAAATCAGGGACGGTATTATAACCCATAGTAAATCATCTGTCTCTTGTAAGATGGTAATATCAGCTCATGGTGAATTAACATGAGAATCTGCGTTTTGAAGTGCATAAGGTCATGCAGGCTCTTTTCTTGGAAAAGCTTGAAGTGACGGACTGAAAACTCATCTCGCAGAGTCTTGGAAATCGGGCCTGAGAGAAACAAATGGTGCCATACCCTGGAATTGCTTACATATTATACCTATTAGCAAATTCTTTTTGGCTACTCTTATCAGAATGGACAAAACCTTTTGTGGCAGGGCTTAGAGTGGGATGCTTGGTATTCTAAACAACATTTAACAACCTTGGTGTAGTTGGAATTAGCGTTTACAGAAAACACCGTTTACAGAAAAGCTACACACATGGATAGATACCTACATAAAAACTCCAACCATCATCCTAGTAAAAAAAAAAGAAAAACTAAAGCCCTGGCAGACGGTGCAAAAAGAATCTGCGCAGCCACTGCCAGAAGGGACAGAGAGTTTCATCTATGCTGATGATCGTGCCATTACCGCTCAAGCAGGGAGCTTTGAGATGGTAGAACAGAAGCTCTCCGAAGCTCTAGGTGCTCTTACTGCCTATTACAGGGAAAACCAGCTGATCCCTAATCCATCTAAAACACAGACATGTGCCTTTCATCTCAAGAACAGACAAGCATCCCGAGCTCTGAGGATCACCTGGGAAGGAATCCCACTGGAACATTGCAGCGCACCCAAATACCTGGGAGTCACTCTGGACCGTGCTCTGACCTACAAGAAGCACTGCCTGAACATCAAGCAAAAAGTGGGTGCTAGAAACAATATCATACGAAAGCTGACTGGCACAACCTGGGGATCACAACCAGACACAGTGAAGACATCTGCCCTTGCGCTATGCTACTCTGCTGCTGAGTATGCATGCCCAGTGTGGACCACATCTCACCACGCTAAAACAGTGGATGTGGCTCTTAATGAGACATGCCGCATTATCACGGGGTGTCTGCGCCCTACACCACTGGAGAAATTACACTGCTTAGCCTGTATTGCACCACCTGACATCCGCCGGGAAGTAGCAGCCAATAGTGAAAGGACCAAGGCAGACATCTCCAGCTCATCCCCTGTTTGGGTATCAGCCAGCACGTCAACGACTTAAATCTAGAAATAGCTTTTTTCTAAGATCTATACTCGCAGGAACACCTCAGCAAGCAAGAGTCCAAAAGTGGCAGGCTAAAACCCAGAACTTCAATCCATGGCTGATACCAAATGAGAGACTCCCCCTGGGCACACAGAGGACTGGGCGACTTGGAAGGCGCTGAACAGACTGCGCCTCTGGCACCACGAGATGCAGAGCCAACCTTCAGAAATGGGGCTACAAAGTGGAATCCTCGACATGTGATGTGGAGAAGAGCAAACCACTGACCACCTGCTGCAATGCAACCTGAGCCCTGCCACATGCACAATGGAGGACCTTCTTTGCGGCAACACCAGAGGCACTCCAAGGGGCCAGATACTGGTCAAAGGACATTTAATCAACTACCAAGTTTGCAAAATTTGTGTTTTGTTTTGTTCTGTTAGAAATGTGTTCTGGTTGTGGATGACACGATAAATAAATAGCCCACCTCTTCCAAGGTGAACCGAAACACTTACACTGGGCTCTGCAGGCCAATGGAGGCTCCACCTCAGACATCAGAAGAGCTGCAAGACTAAGAACAAGCCAAGAGAGCAAAGACAAAGATCCACCCAAAGGAAAAGTGTTCTTGCCAGACATCAAGGGAACCACTCTCCGTATAGGGAAGCTGATGAAAAAAAATGCAGACTACCAATGATCTGCAAATCCACTCAGAAAATCCAACAAATGCTCCGTTCAGCAAAGGAGAATAGGGATCCTCTCACCTCTGCAGGAGTCTACCATATACCATGCAGCTGTGGAAAATTCTCCATAGGGACCTCCAAATGCAGCATTGGCCAAACACGAATCAAGGAACACAAAAGGCACAGCAGACCGATTCAATCAGAGAAGTCAGCCATAGCAGAGCACTTGATGAACCAACTTGGACACAGCAGATTATTTCAGAACATAGAAATGCTGGACCACTCTGACAACTACCACATCAGACTACACTGAAAAGACATTGAAATCTACATGAATTAGGTGGCTTAAAATGTCTTTTTAAATTGTACATTGTTTTAAGGCATCAAAAAGTTGCCTACGCGTAAAGCTGCCTTGAGTCCCCTCTGGGGTTGAGAAAGGCAGGATAGAAATACAAACTATATACAGACCCACCAGGAAAATCCAACTAATGCTACATTCAGCAAAGGACAAGAGGGATCCTCTCACCTCTGCAGGAGTCTACCGTATACCATGCAGCTGTGGACAAGTCTACATAGGGACCACCAAACGCAGCAGCAGCCCAAACATGAAAGGCACTGCAGACTACTTCAACCAGAGAAGTCAGCCATAGCAGAGCACCTGATGAACCAACCTGGACACAGCGTATTATTGAGAACACAGAAATGCTGGACCACTCTCACAACCACCATGTCAGACTACACAGAGAAGCCATTGAAATCCATAAGCATGTGGACAATTTCAACAGAAAGGAGGAAACCATGAAAATGAACAAAATCTGGCAACCAGTATTAAAAAAAACTCTAAAATTACAACAGCAAAACAGCAGGAGGAAACTAACCAGGACATCTAATCACCTCTCAACAAAAGATTGCCCCAGGCACTGCCAGGCCATCAAATGCTAATCAAGGTGGTCAGTTGAAACATTCACACCTAGCTCCAGCAGACAAGAGTCCTTTGTCCCACCCTGGTCATTCCACAGATATATAAACCCCTTTTTCCTAGTTCCAACAGACCTCACTCCCTCTGAGGATGCTTGCCATAGATGCAGGCGAAACGTCAGGAGAGAATGCCTCTAGACATGGCCATATAGCCCGAAAAAACCTACAACAACCCAGTGAATGTTGTAAATAAATACATTCATAACGCAAGGACAAAAAGCACGTTACATAGTGTTATTAGAGGTTACATTTGCTTTCATCATTGTAGATGATTCCTTAAGCAATGGTTGCCTGCGTGTGCTCATAGTGATCTTACCTGGGTTTATTCTCCGCAGGGCTCCCTGACCCGTTTGCAAAGGTGGTGGTGGATGGGTCGGGTCAGTGCCACTCAACTGACACAGTGAAGAACACGTTAGATCCCAAATGGAACCAGCATTATGATCTGTAAGTCACCTTTTTATTGCAAAGCATGATCTGGAAAGAGGTGGGAGAATAGTAGAAAGCTATGACTTGCTTGCATTCAGACAGTGACTGGAACGGCGATTCGACGGACTTGACTGTTTTATTGTTTTAATGATTGTTTTACTACTTATGGGTGTATTTTTAATTTGATTTATGTCTAATTGTAATGTATAATTGTAATTGTTTGTACTGGCATTGAAATTTGCCATTACCTATGTGGAAACCGCTTGGAGTCCCCCTCGGGGTGAGAAAAGCGGTATACAAATACTGTAAATAATAAATAAATAAATTCAACCTCAATGGTTTTTTAAAAAAATCTGTTTGCTTTAAATCTTTGTATCCTGGCATGTTTGACTGACAACTTCAAGGTGGTTTACAACAAAAGGAAAAATGAAATTGGAAATTATTTGTAAACAGGGAAGGACTCTTGACTGATTAAGACTTCCACTTGGGAAACATGGTTGTGATTTGAAGCAGTAGCTAGTATTAACATGTAATGTTAACGGTCTGCTTCATAGACATGATTATTATCCTGGGACCTTTAAACACATTTTAAGTACTCTTTAAGGCTATGCAATGGCTTGTGTGTGGTTTTGGTACCTGTTTATAGACTGTAAACTTGATGTATCTTAGCTACTCAGGCTAAAGCGCTGTGCGTTGGAAGACTAACTCAGAATTCCTGAAGGAAAGCTGTCTCTCCATACCCTAATGAGCACAGTGCTCCATAATAAGGTTGCCTGTAATTAACAAAAGCTGGCACATTATTAGTTTAATGCACTGTGTAAAATTACCGTGATCTAATGATTAATTACACATTGTTGTATTGGATAAAATCTCAGCGTGACCAAAGTATTATTGAAATGAGCTCTCTCTTTGTGAATGTAGAATGCTTTGCCATAAGAAATGGAAGTATCTTTTCTCATATTCCCGTTCCAGATATGTTGGGAAGTCCGATTCTATCACCATCAGTGTCTGGAACCATAAGAAAATTCACAAAAAACAGGGAGCTGGCTTCCTGGGGTGTGTCCGACTCCTTTCCAATGCCATCAGCAGGCTAAAAGATACTGGATGTAAGCATGTCATTACTTACTAGAGGTTTGCTATGCTTTGTATCTAAATACTGAATGTCGACTGCTAGTTGAGAAAATTCTTGGGTCAAGTTTCTTTTTTCCCATTTTTTTTTCATTTGCAGACCAGCGTTTGGATCTATGCAAACTTAACCCCACAGATACTGATGCAGTGCGAGGCCAAATAGTGGGTAAGAAGAAACCATTTCTGTCTGAATAGATAGCTACATAAGCAATTGTCGTTTCCTTCAGTTCTTTAGCTTCAGAGGGGCACCAAAGTTCCAAAATGTCTGAGAGGGATTTTATGTCAGATGCTCTGAAGGTTGCTTGACAGGACTAAGACCATTCGATGCACATTGGAGGTGGATAGAACAGTCTGTTTTGCTTACTTACTTACTTAGGCGATCCCTCGTTGTCCGAGTAGGATTGCCTTCCAAGAATGGTGTCCTGGTGGTGGATCTGTAGGTGACTGTGGAGCCCTATTCTTGACCTGCATGAGAAGATGTAGATCAAGAATAGGGCTCCGCAGTCGCCTACGGACCCACCGCCAGAACACCGATCTTGAAGGACGATCATCCTCGGACTACGAGGGATCGCCTAAGTAAGTAATGCATGTTCTCCCGCAGTGAGGGCATTGGTTTCCAGGTGGAAGGCGATCTCGGTCAGGGTTGGCTTGATGCGCCTTCCTCTTGGCACGTTTCTCTCTTTCGCCCTCCATTTGTGCCTCTTCAAATTCTACACCACTGCTGGTCACAGCTGACCTCCAGCTAGAGTGCTCAAAGGACAGGGCTTCCCAGTTCTCTGTGTCTATGACAGCATTTTAAAGGTTGGCTTTGGGCCCATCTTTAAATCTCTTTTCCTGTCCTCCAACTTTCCATTTTCCATTTTCCATTCTTGAGTTTGGAGTAGAGCAACTGCTTTGGGAGACGGTGGTTGGGCTTCCAGACAACGTGGCTGGTCCAGTGGAATTGATGGCGAAGGACCATCACTTCAATGCTGGTGGTCTTTGCTTCTTCCAGCATGCTGACATTTCCCTGCCTGTCTTCCAGGAGATTTGCAGGATTTTTCGGAGGCAGCGCTGATGGAATTGTTCTAGGAATTGCATGTGACGTCTGTAGATAGTCCACGTCTCGCAGGCATATAGCAGGGTTGGGAGGACCATAGCTTTATAAACAAGCACCTGGGTATCGGAGTATTCATCCCCCCCCCCTCGTGGGAAAGCCTGCTTCCACAACCCCCCCCCCCTATAATTGAGCTCTCTTCCACAAATTACCTGCTTCTCTTCTTTATCTTGCCTGAGTTTTGAATTAGTTTTAATCAGTTTGTCTTTTAATCATTACATGTAGCCCGCCCATTATTATTGTGTCTGTGCTTATTATAATTTTTAAATTGTTATGTATGCATATGTTTTATGTTAATATGATGCTATTGTTTATTGTTTGTGTTTTCGGTTTGTGTTTTGGTTTTTTTCTTTATTGTAATTGTTGTTTGGGCTTGGCCTCGTGTAAGCCGCTCCGAGTCCCCATCGGGGAGATGGTGGCGGGGTATAAATAAAGATTATTATTATTATTATTATTATTATTATTATTATTATTATCCCTACGGATGTCCCGGTCCTCAAACACTCTGTGCTTCATTCGGAAGAATGCTGCACTTGCAGAGTTCAGGCGGTGTTGAATTTCAGTGTCAATGTTGACTTTTGTGGAGAGGTGGCTGCCAAGGAAGCGGAAATGGTCAACATTTTCTAATGTTACACTGTTAAGCTGTGTTTCTGGCCTTGGAGAGGGATTGACTGGTGAGCACTTTGGTTTTCTCGATGTTCAGTGACAGGCCGAGCTTCTCGTTTGCTTCTGCGAAGGTGTTTAGAGTGGCTTGTAGATCTTCTTCTGAATTTTGCATGCATTCATTGATAAGTCACTTCCATTCTGTTTATCAATTTTTCAAAATCTAGTTTTTCTTAAAAATGTAAACATTGCTACACATTTTACCAACTGAGACTATGGATTTCATCCATTTGGTGGAGCAGGAAACTATCGAATTTGGGCTGGTTCTACACTGACCATATAATGCAGTTCAGTGCAGTTCAAATGGTATTATATGGTCAGTGTTGAACCAGCCTTAGAGACATGCATAAAGCAAAGGATAACTACATTCTCATCCCTGGAATTGTGAATAGGGAAAGCTGCTAAGCATATGTAAGGAGATGCCCATTACCAGGCTTCAGGATGCCTGTTTTACTCCGAGGGCTTTAAAGGGGATCTCGAAGTATCTTCCTCTGCCTTTGTTGAGTTCTCTTGTTTGCTTGTTGTTTATGTTTTGGTTTTATTTTGATGTAATACGTTGTTCGGGCTTGGCCCCATGTAAGCCACTCCGAGTCCCCATCAGGGAGATGGTGGCGGGGTATAAATAAAAGTTCATTATTATTATTATTATTGGGTTAGTTTTTTTCCGGGCTATATGGCCATGTTCTGGAGGCAATTTTTCTCCTGACGTTTCGCCTGCATCTATGGCAAGCATCCTCAGAGGTAGTGAGGTCTGTTGGAAGTAGGAAAAATGGGTTTATATATCTGTGGAATGACCAGGGTGAGACAAAGGACTTTTGTCTGCTGGGGCTAGGTGTGAATGTTTCAGCTGATCACCTTGATTAGCATTCAATGGCTTGGAAGTGCCTCGGGGGAATCTTTTGTTGAGAGTGATTTTATGTGCCTGTTTGTTTCCCCTCTGTTGTTTTGCTGTTGTAATTTTTGAGTTTTTTTAATACTGGTAGCCAGATTTTGTTCATTTTCATGGTTTCTTCCTTTCTGTTGAAATTGTCCACATGCTTGTGGATTTCAATGGCTTCTCTGTGTAGTCTGACATGGTGGTTGTTGGTGTGGTCCAGCACTTCTGTGTTCTCAAATAATATGCTGTGTCCAGGTTGGTTCATCAGGTGCTCTGCTATGGCTGACTTCTCTGGTTGAAGTAGTCTGCAGTGCCTTTCATGTTCCTTGATGCGTGTCTGGGCGCTGCGTTTGGTGGTCCCTCTGTAGACTTGTCCACAGCTGCATGGTACACGGTAGACTCCTGCAGAGGTGAGAGGATCCCTCTTGTCCTTTGCTGAACGTAGCATTTGTTGGATTTTCTTGGTGGGTCTGTAGGTTTGTATGTGAGGATGCTTGCCATAGATGCAGGCGAAACGTCAGGAGAAAAATTGCCTCCAGAACATGGCCATATAGCCCGGAAAAACCTACAACAACCCAGTGATTCCGGCCATGAAAGCCTTCGACAATACATTATTATTATTGTTTGGTGGTGCATATATCCAACATAATCTAATAGGAGCTGAGAGACTTTACTCTTTAGTTCATGTCTCCGGGCAATGAGCAAGAGTGTCTCATTTATAGCATCAGGATTAGAAAGCACATTAAGAAGCTTTTAGCTGTCTCACAATAATTTTGGGCCTCTAAAATGTGAATGTTTTAAGTCTCAGCTATAGTTACAAAAGGATGGGAGGAATATTGTTTTTTCTCCAGCTTGACTTGCCTCTCTGGTTTGTTATTGAAGATGCTTTGTGATTAGCAGCTACCTTTCAGTTTGTGACACGTTTTGGTGAAAAGAGGATTGACACCCAGCTTTGCTCAGGACTCTTGATGGAGTTGTTTTTGTTTCGTGGCTATATGGCGTTCATGCTGCTCTATTGAACATTAAGCTGCTGAGCTGCATTTAGATCAACATATTCAACCTTCAGTGACATGTTGGTCCATCATACTGTCTGGAGAATGTGTTTGGAAAGTATTGCATGTGAGAACTCCGTTTCTCTGAAATTAAACACACACTGTGCAGCCAAAAAAAAAAAAAAAAAAAGCATAAAGTTATGTATTGCCATCTAGTGGCAAATATTCCAGGAATGGGAGCATGAGAGATGTTTGGAAATGCATTTCCCACACAGAATTCTTGGTGTGTTCCCCGTACCTTGGGAAGTCGGATCTGGCCACGGTGGTCCACGCTCTTGTTACATCCCAATTAGATTACTGCAACGCACTCTACGTGGGGTTGCCTTTGAAGACTGTTCGGAAACTTCAACTAGTCCAGCGGGAGGCAGCCAGATTGCTCACCGGAGCGGCATACAGGGAGCATACCACCCCCTGTTGTGTCAGCTCCACTGGCTGCCGATCCAATTCCGAGCACAATTCAAAGTGCTGGTTTTGACCTACAAAACCCTATACGGTTCCGGCCCAGTGTATCTGTCCGAACGGATCTCCCCCTACGTCCCACCTCGGAGTTTAAGATCTTCTGGGGAGGCCCTGCTCTCGACCCCGCCTCTATCACAAGTGAGGCTGGCGGGGACGAGGAGCAGGGCCTTCTCGGTGGTGGCCCCTCACCTGTGGAATTCACTCCCCGGGGAGATTAGATCGGCGACTTCCCTCTTGTCATTTAGAAAAAAATTGAAAACTTGGATGTGGGACCAGGCATTTGGACGTTCTGGCAGCTAGAGGAAGGACCTTGATGATGGACAGGAATTGACTGAACGGAATGGATTTATGGAACTCTGAACACTGAGCATGAGATTAGTTTACTGATTGTGTTATGTACTGATGATTTTAACCTGTTAATTGTTTAATTGCTGTTTTGTATGTATGTATATTTGACATAGGCATCGAATTGTGCCTTCTTTGTAAGCCGCCCTGAGTCCCCCCTCGGGGTGAGAAGGGCGGGGTAGAAGTAATCGAAATAAATAAATAAATAAATACTATTCACATGTCTTGATTGTAGTGCTATTTGTTGGTTACATATTGAATGCAGATTTTGAATAGCAGGTTTAGTGTGTTTCCTCACATTCTGACATTATTTATTTATTTATTTAAAACTTTTATATCCCGGTCTCCTCTACCTCCGGCTGACAGCAAAAATTCAATGCTAACACTAAAATCTAAAATATCATACATCAACATTAAAAATTAACCAATACATATAGGATAAATTACATAACAGCCGTTCGCCAAGATAAAAACATGTCCAACTCAGTCCGTATATTCAGTCCATATATTGTGGTCAGTAACTTTGGTCAGTTGCCGGTCTCAGACATCATTCCGCAAAAGTTTCATTCCACAGCCAATTTTTCACTAGCTTCCTAAAGGTCAGGAGAGAGGGGGCAAATCTAATTTTATTCGAGAGGGAATTCCATAGCCGAGGAGCCACCACAGAAAAGGCCCTGTCTCTCGTTTCCACCAGACGCGCCTGCGAAGGTGGCGGGACCGAGAGCAGGGCCACTCCAGACGATCTTAATACTCTTGATGGTTCATAGGGGAGAATATGTTCGGACAGGTAAACTGGGCCAGAAGCGTATAGGGTTTTGTAGACATGCCCTTTTCTGTTGGGTTCCTTTTTGTCTCCTGTCATTATCAATAAACCTTTGACCCGAATGTAAAGACAAAATGCAAATAGCAACTGCTAACCCTGTCAAAACATTGAAACTCTTTGCTTTTGTAAGAAGGAAAAAAATCTCAACAGTACATGTGGATGATTGCTAGCAATTCTTCATTGCTGCTTATTTTAAAGCTGTACCAGTCCTTTGTCAAGTTGAACTACACTGCGAATCAGGTTCTTTTGTTCCAGCTGGGCTTTGGTAGAAGACACTTGCAGATTACCTTGTCTTGAGCTTTAATTTTGATTTTCTTTTTTTTTCTCATTCCAGTCAGCTTACAGACACGGGACAGGATAGGCACAGGAGGATCTGTGGTAGACTGCAGGGGCCTGTTAGAGAATGAAGGGTAGGTGTTCCATCTTCTCGTATCGCCTCTTCACTTTAACCTTACGTAAATAAATTAATAATCACTGTTTCTTCCGAACCAGAGCAATCTTTGAGGCATACACTATAAACAAAAATATTCCGCAATAAAATTTTTGGCTTCATGTTAGCCGCCCCAAGTCCCCTTTGGAGAGATGGTGGCGGGGTACAAATAAGGATTATTATTATTATTATTATTATTACTATTAAATGCTATAAATTAAATGTTTTTAAGGTTTGACAGTGAGACAAGATTAAGCAAAATGGTGGTTGTTTGCCTTGAAGTTGTTTCTGGCAAAACTAACATAGAAGGTTTTTTGGGGGGGAGCAATATTTGTTCAGAAAGGGATATGTCTTGCATTCCTCTGAGGCTGAGAGGCTGTGACTGGTCCAATGTCAGCCAGTGAGTTTCCATGGCCAATACCTTCTGTCCCCATCCAATTGATGTGAAATAAATTGCATCTGAGAAAGGGACATGATGGTGATTGGGTTGCTGTGAGTTTTCCAGTCTGCCTGGCCATGATCCTGAAGCATTCTCTTCTGACGATATCTATGGCAGACATCCTCCAAGGTTATTAGGTCTGTTGGAAACTAGGCAAGTGAGGTGTATACATCTGTGGTATGTTATCCAGGGTGGGAGAAAGAACTCTTGTCTGCTTGGGACAAGTGTGAATGTTGCTATTGGCCACCTTGATTAGCATTGAATGGCCTTGCAGCTTCAAAGCCTGACTGCTTCCTGCCTGGGGAAATCATTTTTGGGAGGGGCTAGCAGGCCCTGATTGTTTCGTGTCAGGAATTCCCCTGTTTGAGTTTTCCTCTTTATTTTCTGTCCTGATTTTAGAGGGTTTTTTTAAAAAAATTATGGTAGCCAGACTTTGTTCATTTTCGTGGTTTCCTCCTTTTTGTTGAAATTGTCTACATTCTTATGGATTTCAATGGCTTCTCTGTGTAGTCTGAGATGGAGGTTGTTAGAGTGGTCCAGCATTTCTGTTTTCTCCAGTAATATGCTGCGTCCATGTTGGTTTATCGGGTGCTCTACTATGACTAACTTTGCACTTGATGAACCAACCCGGTCATAGCATATTATTGAAGAACACAGAAATGCTGGAACACTCTAACAACCACCATGTCAGATGACACAGAGAAGACTGAAATCCACAAGCATGTGGGCAGTTTCAACAATATAATAGTATAGTGCAATATAGTAATATATAATACTGATATTGTACTATGCTAATAATTTAATATATTGTATGAAAATATATCTTGTAAACTGCTCTGAGTCCCTTTCGGGATGAGAAGAGCGGCATATAAATGCCGTAAATAAATAAATAAACAATGAAAATGAACACTATCTAGCTAACAAATTGATTTTCCTGCTTCTTAGCAGTGGGTTGGACTGGGTGACATTGTTCTCTTCCAATTCAATTATCTATGATTCTACCAGTATTTAAAAAAACTCTAAAATCAGGACATTAAATAAAGAGGAATACTTTTGTCAGGGGAATTCCAGACAAGAAACAATCAGGGCCAGCTAACACCTCGCAACAAAGGATTCCCTAAGCAGGAAGCAGCCAGGCTTTGAAGCTGCCATGCTATTCAGTGCTAATCAAGCTGGGCAATTGCAAAATTCATACTTGCCTCAAACAGACAAGAGTTCTTTCTCCCACTCTGGACATTCCACAGATACATAAACCCAATTTTCCTAGTTTCCAACAGACCTCACAACCTCTGAGGATGCCTGCCATAGATGCAGGTGAAACGTCAGGAGAGAATGCTTCTGGAAAACTCACAGCAACCCAGTGATTCTGGCCATAAAAGCCTTTGCAACAGCTTGAATGTTACGTTTCAAGAGATTTTCACATTGATTCTATCTCCTTTGTGTTGATGTGTGTTTTATAAGGTCAACTTTTCTCTATCTGGAAATTCACAAAACTAGTGGTGTATAACTGCAATTCTCCACGTGTGTTTGCATGGCATTTCCCATAATTCCTCACTGTTGGCTAGGATCAGTAGGAGCTGTAGGCCCAAAATCCTTGGAGATCTATGTTTCCTCACTCCCACTCTAAACATTATGCAGGATTTGCATAATAATTCTTTTAACTGTGTGAGTCTTTATGTTTTCAGAACGGTTTATGAAGACTCGGGGCCAGGAAGGCCGCTGAGCTGTTACATGGAGGAGCCAGCCCCATACACAGACAGCACCGGGGCCGCTGGAGGAGGAAACTGTCGCTTTGTGGAATCTCCAAGCCAGGACCAGGCTTTGCAGGTGCAGCGATTGCGGACTCCTGATGTGAGAAGCCATGTACAGACGCCCCAGAACAGGCCGCATGGTCACCAGTCGCCGTCCCCTGACCTGCCTGAAGGCTATGGTAAGACTCTGCTATCCTGATGCGTTCTCAAGATCGTATTAAATCTGAGACTAAACCAGATCGAGGGATCAGGAGGACAGAAGTACTGTCGCAGTGTGGTTCTCACTTTTGGGTCCTTTCAAATGTTTGGAGTAACTTCCTGGAATTCTGGCCAGCATGACTGATAGTAACGGTTTCTCGGCCTAAAAGAACAATTGTTGTAGTATATATTGAAATTACGGAGTATTTCATTTTGCATTTCCCTCCTCACATGGTTGTTGCCTAGTATTTCAAACCATTCTCTCCCTATTTTCAGTTTTTCACTGGAAGCGCTTCTAGTTTTCCTTTTCTTTCTTTCTGGAGTAGCGTTGAATGGCCTTGGATCTTCAAAGCCTGGCTGATTGCTGCCTAACACTTTGTTAACTGGGCATGATTGATTTCATAGAATCATAGAATCAAAGAGTTGGAAGAGACCTCCTGGGCCATCCAGTCCAACCCCATTCTGCCAAGAAGCAGGAATATTGCATTCAAATCACCCCTGACAGATGGCCATCCAGCCTCTGTTTAAAAGCTTCCAAAGAAGGAGCCTCCACCACACTCCGGGGCAGAGAGTTCCACTGCTGAACGGCTTTCACAGTCAGGAAGTTCTTCCTCATGTTCAGATGGAATCTCCTCTCTTGTAGTTTGAAGCCATTGTTCCGCATCCTAGTCTCCAGGGAAGCAGAAAACAAGCTTGCTCCCTCCTCCCTGTGGCTTCCTCTCACATATTTATACATGGCTATCATATCCCCTCTCAGCCTTCTCTTCTTCAGGCTAAACATGCCCAGCTCCTTAAGCCGCTCCTCATAGGGCTTGTTCTCCAGACCCTTGATCATTTTAGTCGCCTTCTTCTGGACACATTCCAGCTTGTCAATATCTCTCTTGAATTGTGGTGCCCAGAATTGGACACAATATTCCAGGTGTGGTCTAACCAAAGCAGAATAGAGGGGTAGCATGACTTCCCTGGACCTAGACACTATGCTCCTATTGATGCAGGCCAAAATCCCACTGGCTTTTTTTCCGCCACATCACATTGTTGGCTCATGTTTAACTTGTCCACGAGGACTCCAAGATCTTTTTCACACGTACTGCTCTCGAGCCAGGCATTGTCCCCCATTCTGTATCTTTGCATTTCGTTTTTCCTGCCAAAGTGGAGTATCTTGCATTTGTCACTGTTGAACTTCATTTTGTTAGTTTTGGCCAATCCTCTCTCTAATCTGTCAAGATCGTTTTGAATCCTGCTCCTGTCCTCTGGAGTCTTGGCTCTCCCTCCCAATTTGGTGTCGTCTGCAAACTTGATGATCCTGCCTTCTAACCCTTCATCTAAGTCATTAATAAAGATGTTGATAATAAAGATTTTGTTATATTATGTTATTTTATTTTACTGTGTATGATTTTGCTTTATTGTCTTTGTACTCATATGTTGTATGTATTTTACTGTGTTGTTATTGTGTTTTGGTTTCACTTTATTGTAATATGCTGTTGGGCTTGGCCTCATGTAAGCTGCCCCGAGTCCCCATTGGGGAGATGGTGGCGGAGTGTTAAATAAAGATTATTATTATTATTATTATTATTATTATTATTATTATTATTATTATTACTGTTGTTGAAGTTCCCCTGTTTTTTGAGCATTGCTCTTTATTTACTGTCCTGATTCTAGAGTTTTCAGCACTGGTAGCCAGATTTTGTTCATTTCCATGATTTCCTCCTTTCTGTTGAAATTGTCCACATGCTTGTGGATGTCAATGGCTTCTCTGTGTAGTCTGACATGGCGGTTGTGAGAGTAGTCCAGCATTTCTGTGTTCTCAAATCATATGCTATGCCCATAAAAAAGTTTACATTCTTCTTCCATTTTTGTTTATTCTCTTGTTGAAGAGTTACTAGCTTTTCTTACTAGTTACAATCTTTTTTTAAAAAGGACTTACTGTTTGTATATATTTACTTTTCTTTGTTTTCTTTTTCATTTGAATGGGTTTCCTGAATGGCATCCTAGTCTATAGTTCATAATGGGTAGTATCAGTACTGCCTTGGGCCCCATGTTGTAAGGAAAGCAGGATATTAAATAAATATTCTCTAAGCTATCTTTTGTCACCGCCTGTAAGCAGATAAGCGTTTTCTGTATTGGAGTGCCAGGGTATTCATTAACTGGGAATGGACGCAGAGCAAGGGAGCGTCTTGTATGTTCTAAAATAAATGAAAACATTTCCATACAGTTACTAGCCCAAAAAGAGTGCCTTGGAGTGTTGGTTGCTTAAACAGTGTACATATTTCTTCTGCCCAACTCTTGGATTTTTGTAAACAAGTCAGTGTGAAACTAAATGACAGAGTAGACATGATGATTACCATGTTTTCTGGTGTGTAAGACTACTTTTTAACCCAAGAAAATCTTCTCAAAAGTCAGATGTTGTCTTATATGCCAGGAATCGTCTTATGGAGCGGGTGCTGAAACTTGCATTCCTGATTGGAGAATTTGTGGTTGACACATATTGTGGGGAGAGCTCAAAAATGGCTGTGGCCACGTCCTTGCCGTATGCAGCAACTGTATGAAAGCATTAAGGGTGATGCTGTACAAGTATGGTAGAAGAAAATCCATTCATCAGGATTTGTGGATTTAATGCGGTCCGGATGGTGAGGTGAAAGGGTGCCTCACTGGGAAGGTGTAAGTCAGGGGTCGGGAACCTTTGGCCCTCCAGCTGTGGTGGACTTCAACTCCCACAATTCCTTGAGGCTCGGCATTCGCCCCAAAGGCTTACCTTGGCCCAACGAGGTTTGTTTCGCTCTTTTTCATGGAGGACGGGCAGCAAAGGGGGAGAGACGAGCGTAACGTAGCTGTGCAGATGGCGAGGAAGGATGCGGAGCCCACAGACTGGCCTCGGAGGGAGAGAGCGGGCGGAAACCCCTGCGGGCAACGCGCTTCCTCGCCGCTTCGGCCCTTAGCACCCGCCCCGCATGGACCCCCTCCCTAGCAACGACGCCGGCTGAGTGACGTCGTGCAGAGCTTGTCGGGGAAAAGGGAAGGCGAAGGCTGGAGGGAAAGGGCTCTGCGCTGTTTAAGCGGCGAGGAGGCGCGTTGCCCGCAGGGGTTTCCGCCCGCTCTCTCCCTCCGAGGCCAGTCTGTAGGCTCCGCATCCTTCCTCGCCATCTGCACAGCTACGTTACGCTCGTCTCTCCCCCTTTGCTGCCCGTCCTCCATGAAAAAGAGCCAAACAAACCTCGTTGGGCCAAGGTAAGCCTTTGGGGCGAATGCCGAGCCTCAAGGAATTGTGGGAGTTGAAGTCCACCACAGCTGGAGGGCCAAAGGTCCCCGACCCCTGCTCTAGACTGTGCTCTGAGCAAGCTGCAGGCATCCGGGGCGCCCGGGGTATGGAAAAAAGAGATAGAGTGGCTCTGGGCCCAGAAAAACACACCTCTTTTACCTGTCTGGCCCGCCCTTGTATCCTATTACCGTACCTCCTCCTCTGCCTCTCAAATCTCACTCCTGAAGACTGCAGTGAAGCGGTGCAGGTGTGTATGTGCGAGATCTGAGAGGCAGAGAAGGAGGTAGAGTAAAAGGAAAATTACCATATTGAAATCAAATTTTATGCTTTTTAAATTTTTATTTAAATGGTTTCGGTTCAACTTACCTATCCGAACATATGACTCTTTACAAACCATCCAGAACACTAAGATCTTCTGGGGTGGCCCTGCTCTCGCTCCCGCACAGATGCGTTTGGTGGGGACAAGGGACTGGGCCTTCTTAGTGGTGGCCCCTCGACTGTGGAATGCCCTGCCTAGAGAGATAAGATCGGCCCCTTCCCTCCTGTCCTTTCGAAGAATGGTAAAAACCTGGATTTTTTAACAGGCCTTCCCAAATATGGCATAGATCAGTGGTTCTCAACCTGGGGTCCCCAGATGTTTTTGGCTGGTAAACTGGCTGGGATTTCTGGGAGTTGTAGGGCAAAAACATCTGGGGACCCCAGGTTGAGAACCACTGGCATAGATATATGATATTATGGACAATCGACAACTCAACTGGACAATGATTTGAGATGGAGACGCTTTGACAATGTTTTTAAATGCTGTGTATGTTTTTTTTATGTTTTTATATTGCTATTAGTATTTTAAAGAATTTATCACTGCTTTAATTTGTTGTAACTGTACCGACATCTAATTGTTGCCTATTGTTAACCGCTCCGAGTTGCCCTTGGGCTGAGAGGGGCGGTATATAAATGTAGTAAATAAATAAATATTTGGTGTGCATTGGAAGAGGGGTAGTCTTATACAGTGAGTATATCCCAAACTCTATATTTTGACTGGAAAAGTTGGGGTCGTCTTATATGCCGGAAAATATGGTATCTGAGCATCCCCTGCAAAGTGCAGGATATACAAGAAACTGGCCTATCAGATGTTAATTAAACTGTTCATCCAATACCTTTGGAAATAATTTATCCAGAACACAAAATGTCTGGGCTGGTATAGGTGAAGTGAGCTGGGAATAATAAGTAGTTATAGTCAGTGTATTGGTGATGATTCTGACTCTTGTGATTTGAGGTTGTGACAAATCCCATTTTCATGGAAGGATATCTGGTGAACTCGATGTTGGTATTACTATTCTCTCTGTAACACGAATAAAATGCACGCCCAAATACATGTGATGGAGGAGATGATAAAGATTTAATTGCATTAATTGAGCCTTTTGTTTGTGGCGGAAGTCTTCTTTTTGGATTTTCACAAAAACTTCTCTTGTCTTGTAGAACAAAGGACAACAGTACAGGGGCAAGTTTACTTTTTACACACACAAACCGGTGTTAGCACATGGCACGACCCTAGGATACCAAGGTATGTATGTGTTATGTCTATCTGAGGTCATCCCGGCTTTGGCAGATACGTTGTAGTGCTTCTGTTTTCAGATGCCTTTCACCCCAGTTAACCTTTCTGTAACCATCATGCTTGGGAAAGGGTTGGGACAAAGAGTTTGAAATTTACACTTACTAATGGCTTGAAAGAAAATTTCTATATGATGATGTATAGATGGTACCTGACACCAGAAAGGATTGTTGAAATGTATAAAAAATAGTTCTAGTGACTGTTGGAAATGTGGGGAAAAGGTGCGTACCTTTTATCATATGTGGTGGTTGTGTGAAAAAGCCCAGAAATACTGGGCACAAATACATATGATTTTAGAAGAAATGGTTCAATTTAAATTTGAAAAGAAACCTGAACTTTGTCTGCTTTGGATGTTATATGATCAGCTCAATAGGAAATGTGGAAGGTTATTTTAATACATGACAATGGCAGCAGGAATGATCTCTGTTTAAAAATGGAAAGGCTCAACGATCCCGACACATGTTGATTTGCTTGTGAAATTAAGTGGACTTGCAGAAATGGAGAAGCTTACCATGGGCCCTTCCAGACAGGCCCTATATCCCAGGATCTGATCCCAGGTTTTCTGCATTAAACTGGATTATATGAGTCTCTACTGCCAGATAATCTGTGATAGGCAGAAAACCTGGGGTCAGATCCTGGGGTATAGGGCCTGTCTGGAAGGGCCCTGTGTTAATCTATATAAATAAAAATGTAATGTTTGTGGGATTAACATAACTCAAAAACCACTGGATGAATTGACACCAAATTTGAACACAAGACACCTCTCAGGCCAACGAGTGACCATCACTCATAAAAACACGGAAAATACAGTAGAAGGGACTTAAAAAGCCAAAAACGCAAAAAGACGCTACAGTGCATACGCAAAACAACTCCTCCGGCAAACAAAACACACAATAGCATATCCACACTCTCTTCTGGACTACAGCTCCCAGCATCCCCTAGACCAGACCCTTTAGGAGAGGAGGAGGATCCAAATGCACTGCTTCCAAGATACAAGCTTTCTTCTCCTTGTATTCCTTTGAGAGCTTCCCAATCCCTGCATATTCCCAATTTCCTATTTCAGGACTGCAACTCCTAGCAATCTTCCAAATAGATAAGATAGATAGATTATATAGAGATAGATAGATAGATAGATAGATAGATAGATAGATAGATAGATAGATAGATAGATAGATAGATAGGTCAGGAGGACTGCTCGGAGTTGCAGTCCAAGAATAGGTAGAGAAGGAAGAAAGGGGAAAAAGAGGAGAGGAAAGGAAAGTTGGGAGAGAAGGAAGGGAAGAAGAAGAGAAGGAAGGAAGGAGAGAAGGAAAGAAAAAAAAGGAAGGAGGGAGGGAGGGAGGAAAGGAAGGAGAGAAAGAAAGAGAAAAAGGGAAGGAAGGAGAGGAAGGAGAGAAAGAAAGAAAAGAGGAAGGAAGGAGGGAGGAAAGGAAGGAGAGAAAGAAAGAGAAAAAGGGAAGGAAGGAATATAGGAGGAGAGGAAGGAGAGAAAGAAAGAGAAAAAGGGAAGGAAGGAAGGAGAGAAAGAGAAAAGAGGGAAGGAAGGTTGGCCATAGCAACGTGTGGCGGGTACAGCTAGTTATGGAGAAATTTCTAACTCGCTTTAAGAAAGACTGGAGTCCATTCATTGTGTTCCTCCGCAAAGATGGTGTCACACCTCAATCACTGGTTTTTTGGACTGTAAGAGTATTATTATTATTATTATTATTATTATTATTATTATTATGTGGGGGAATGATGTGTCAATGATTCTTTTTTATTTAATGGTTGTAGGAAACTGGGAGAACATAACCATCAGACAGAGAATGTAAAACTCTTAGATTAGCTTACGTAGATTGAATGCAGTTAATGTTTTCTGATGTATAGAATATAGTAGTAATATGTTTTCTTGTATTCTAGAAAAAGTATTTTTAACTTTGTTTATATTTGTTAGTTTGTTTATTTGTACATTTTTGTATACTTGGGAAAGTAAGGGCACCTATATATTATAGACTGGAATAATGGAATAACTCTTTTCTGCCAGCTTGCTAAAATCAAATGTTGTGTTGCTTCCACGGTCAAAACATGTCATGATTGTTTCTCTTCTGCTTTTCATAGAGACCTTAACAGTGTGAATTGTGATGAATTGGGACCTCTACCACCAGGTTGGGAAGTTAGAAGTACAGTGTCAGGAAGAATATATTTTGTAGATCATAATAACAGAACCACACAGTTCACAGACCCAAGACTTCATCACATCATGAAGTAAGAAAACAACGAATTATTTCTAGAGTCTGAAGTTCACAGAGATAACACCTATTCTTATCCACAGGTTCTTCTAGCCCCTGTCCATGAATGCCCAGCCCAAATTGACTGTTAAAGTGAACTCTGCACTTTACCCTAGGCATATAATCTGCTTTTTGCCCAATCCCAGCCCCCTTGAATTTCTGATCTTATTCCTGGTTCTGGTTTATTGTGGTTTGTTCTGATCCATTTTAATGTTGTTTTTATACTCTGTTGTTTTTATTTGTTGAATTAGATTTTTATATATTTATTATGTTTATAAATGTGATTTTATTTGGTAAATTATGTTGTGTTGGGCTTGGTCCTGCTTGTAAGCCACCCTGAATCCCTTTGGGGAGATGGTGGTGAGATATAAAAACAAAGTTGTTGTTGTTTATGAATTTTAATTTTTTACCTGAGGTTTATGTGTGTTTATTATTTATGGAGTTATGTTGTTGTTTTAGAGGCTTATGTATTGTTTGTTCTATGTCTGGCACTTCAAATGTGCTCTTTTGAGCTGCCCCGAGATGGGGATATGGTGGTGCGGTACAAATAAAATCATAGAATCATAGAATCAAAGAGTTGGAAGAGACCTCCTGGGCCATCCAGTCCAACCCCATTCTGCCAAGAAGCAGGAATATTGCATTCAAATCAACCCTAACAGATGGCCATCCAGCCTCTGTTTAAAAGCTTCCAAAGAAGGAGCCTCCACCACACTCCGGGGCAGAGAGTTCCACTGCTGAACGGCTCTCACAGTCAGGAAGTTCTTCCTCATGTTCAGATGGAATCTACTCTCTTGTAGTTTGAAGCCATTGTTCCGCGTCCTAGTCTCCAAGGAAGCAGAAAACAAGCTTGCTCCCTCCTCCCTGTGGCTTCCTCTCACATATTTATACATGGCTATCATATCTCCTCTCAGCCTTCTCTTCTTCAGGCTAAACATGCCCAGCTCCTAAAGCCGCTCCTCATAGGGCTTGTTCTCCAGACCCTTGATCATTTTAGTCGCCTTCCTCTGGACACATTCCAGCTTGAATCTCTCTTGAATTGTGGTGCCCAGAATTGGACACCATATTCCAGATGTGGTCTAAATGTGTGTGTATAATAATAATAATAATAATAATAATAATAATCCTTATTTAATACCCCGCCACCATCTCCCCAATGGGGACTCAGGGCGGCTTACATGAGGCCAAGCCCAACAGCATATTACAATAAAGTAAAACCAAAACACAATAACAGCATAGTAAAATACATACAACATATGAATACAAAAAAATGATAAAGCAAAATCATATACAGTAAAATAAAATAACATAACAATGAGCGGGCCGGGCTGCATGTGCAAGATAAAAACTAAGATACTAAAATACTATAATCAGGATGAGATATGGATGGAGCAGATTGTTTGTGGGGGAGAAACTAATAAAGGAACGGGGTCATAAATATAGACTTACATATATATTATTAACAGGACTCTGTAAAATAGAAATGGAACAAATGCTCTATATATAATCCCCCCCCCCCCCAAGTCAAAAATCTGTATTTACTGTTGAAATAGTAGTTTAATAGGATTGGAAGAAAACTGGACAGCTAGTTGTGTACACTCAGCTGGACTTTGACCATTTACTCATCCAGTGATTTCACCCCAAATCGGCTTCTTAATATAGTAGTAATAATAACTTGATTCTTGTACCCTGCCACCATCTCCCCGAAGGGACTCGGAGCTGCTTACATATGAGACAAAATGCCCATAGACACAAATACAAAACAATCCTTCAAAGCAAAAACACAATTAAAATAAAAAACATAGTTAAATATAACAATCCAGATAAAAGCACAATGCAATAAAGCGTAAGTGTCTTGGAGTAAGATTTGAGGCGGTTGGTTTCAGAGTGTTGCATGAGTATTACATGAGCCTTTGCTGGATTTGCAAACCTCAAAAGGGTCTTGTTTTCTGAGTGGGAGGAGTTCCCGTATTTGCCTGGTCAAGAGATAAAGAGCATTAGCCACCCGGCAGTATCGAAAGACAAGGAGTGTGCAAATCATTTTGAAACCTAGTTTTGCCTGTCATTATGACTATGAGTCACGTTTTTGACGAGACAAATTAATTCACCTTTGATCAAGGTGTTCTGTAAGTGTTTGGTCTAGCAGCTGACATGGCTTACCCTCTAAGTGGCTGTATTCCCATACCCTAGACGATGGTAATCAGTTTTAATGTGTAATGTTCCAGACTCCGTTTAAACTTGTTTCTTAAATGCGATTGTCAAGAGACCAGGGTTTGTTCCTGATGTGTAATAAGCGCATCATTATTATCAAAAGTATACCCATTTCCAGTCCAATTCAGTATCAAAGACCCAATTCAGACCATGTCCATGGTCAATTCTCACACATTACAAGTGCTGTCATGCCTGCTGTCCAAAAACCTGGTCCCAAAACCATGATTTAAGCTTGTTCCTAAAAGAAAGGAGGGATGGAGCCAAACTAATTTTGCTGGGGAGCGAGTTCCACAGGTATGTGTGAGGGGGCACCACCGAGAAGGCCCTGTCCCTCGTCCCCACTAAACGCATCTGCGAAGCTGGCTGACTGAGAGCAGGGCCTTCCCAGATGATCTTAAACTGCTCCCTCAATGTTCTTGTCCCAGGATTTCTCTCCCCCCCCCCTCCCTTGTATGAAGATTTGTTTATTTCTCTGTCTCTCTATGAGTTCTCCCTTACAAACAGTTCTGCCCCTTTATCTCACCCTGAGTTTTTAAATCATTTTTGTGAGGAAGCTGTGTAACACTGTTCAACGGAGAAAAAGTTGCGGGCCTGAAAATAGTTGTTCTTTTATGATTTTGGGGTGCTGAAAACGAAAATGACATTTAAAAATGTATATTGGCTTTAGTTTTTATGATATAAGCAATCACGTGATCATGTATGGTTGAAAAAAAGTGTTGCGACTTACACTATGGAAGATTCTGGAATACTCTAGAAAGTTTGATGACGCAGTATTAGTGCCGTGTGCAAAAGCTAGAAAGCCCTATATAAGGCCAGACTTTTGAACAGTGAGGGTCAGTCAGTTGAAGACTGAGACAGTCTCGTTAAACATCGTTTTACATTGTTCTTTTTACTGTAGTGATGCCTCGCACGTGTGTAAATAAAGCACTATGGAAAAAAGAGATCAAGGCCAATGGACTCCGTCAATGCTGTCAGACTCCTGCTGGAGCATTGTAAGAGGGAATCCTTTCCTTGAATACAAAAGAAAAGTCAAGAGAAGCAAACAAGATAGAAACTCAAGTCATGATTAAAGCGACATTTAAACTTTCAGACTTTTCAACTGCATTAGGCCTACTAATATAGTTTCTTGCCGCACAAACATAAACAATAAACTAATTAAATAAATATTTCTCATGTATAAACTATTGGCAATATAATTTAACTAAAATTTAGTAAATATTCACGGTTTATATACATGCAGTAAGGTTAGGCGCATTATCATAATATTAACGAATTACCTATTGTGGAGAAAATTGAAATAGCTGTTGCATAAAAACCAAAGCCAATTAACACATTTAATTATTATATTTGAATTCAGCATGTTAAATTCATGAAGAAACGGCACATTTTATTTTCGTAACTGAGAAAAACTGAAAATTTGTAGACCAGTGTATCAATATCAACTTAGGAGCTGAATGCCAAGGGACCACTATTTAAGGGGGGGGGGGGTGTTACTTATTTGATACCGTAGCTTACGTTTAATAACCCTAATTTGGTCCTCTTTCTTCTTGTGCAGGGCTGTTTGACTTAGAAGAAATTGTATCAGAGGCAAGGCTTGAGAAAAACAGTTACTTCACTCTAGAGCAGGGGTCCTCAAACTAAGGCCCAGGGGCCGGATACGGCCCCCCAACGTCATTTACCTGGCCCTCGCTCAGGGTCAACCTAAGTCTGAAATGACTTGAAAGTACACAAGAACAACAACAACCCTATCTCATCAGCCAAAAGCAGGCCCACATTTCCCATTGAAATACTAATAAGTTTATATAAGTTTGGGACCACCCTACCTGCGTGACCGCATCGCTGTCTACGAACCCACACGCTCACTCCGGTCATCTGGAGAGGCCCTGCTCGTGATCCCGCCCGCGTCACAAGCGCGCTTGGTGGGGACGCGAGACAGGGCCTTCTCCGTGGTGGCCCCCCGCCTCTGGAACGCCCTCCCGAAAGATCTCAGACAAGCCCCTACACTGGCAGTCTTCAGAAAGAATTTGAAAACCTGGCTGTTCCAATGTGCCTTTTCAGATTAGGAATCTCCCACTACCAAATCCCAGAAGCACTTTAGTACCAAATCACCGCACACTGCACACCGCACTTATATCATAATCCCACACCCCTCCGATACATCAGCACTTTTAACCTTGTACCCCTACTCCGGCCGACTCAGTTTTTAATAATGTCTTGTCGTATTGCTATTGTTATTGTTTTTCTGCTTAACTGTTTTTATTTGCTAGATATTGTATTGTTGTATTGTGTTGGGCTTCGGCCTATTGTGAGCCGCATCGAATCCTTCGGGAGATGCTAGCGGGGTACAAATAAAGTAATAATAATAATAATAGTAATACTAATAAGTTTATATTTGTTAAAATTGTTCTTCATTTTAATTATTGTATTATTTTAAGTGTTTTTTACACTACAAATGAGATATGTGCAGTGAGCATAGGAATTCATTCATGTTTTTTTTTCAAATTATAATCTGGCCCTCCAACAGTTTGAGGGACTGTGATCTGGCCCTCTGTTTAAAAAGTTTGAGAAACACTGCTCTAGAGGCACAAACTTAGCTGGTTACATTTATAGAGGTTCTTGAATGACTCTAGGCACTAAACAGATTTCAAAAGGTTTCTTTAGGCAAATGTTTCTTTCTTTAACAACCGTTCTGGTAATACAAATAAGCCACTTGGCTTATTCAACTGTATTGGCTCCAAGCCAAATCTTGATTCTTAATCAAACAATCAGTCCTCCCTGTGGTTCTACACTACAGGATTCCTGTTGGATCTCTACTTCCACACAGGATCAACTACCTCTCTAGTTCACAACTACAGATCAGTTCCTTGATCTTCTCACTGGAGAATCCTCCTCTGTAACTCTCTGGTTACAGACTGCTGATTCACAGATCAGTGCTTTTCTGTAGCTCTCCGGCTACAGACTGATAACTTTCAAAAAGCTGTGCTGACAAGTGGCAGTTAGCAGTTGGCTCCGCCCCTGTTGCTATAACTCAGCTCAAGGCAAGCCAAGCCAGTTACCATCCCTAATAAAATACAATTCTACATACCAACCACTGTCCAAACAATACATGACTATAGGAATAAAAATACACATCATCACAGTTTTATGTACATGCAGCCCGCTCTCTGTCATTATGTTTGGTTTCTATGTTTTGTTTATATTGTTTATATGCTTTGATCTTTATTGTTATGTTGTTTATTTTACTGTAATTTGTTGTTTGGGCTTGGCCCCATGTAAGCCACTCCGAGTTCCCGTTGGGGGAGATGGTGGCGGGGTATAAATAAAGATTATTATTACTGTTATTATTATCGCTTTTGCCATCTTGCTCTTCTCTTTGAGAGTTAACATTTCCCTCCTTTTCCCCACCCGCAAGTCACCAATGCCAACTGAAAGAACCCAACCAGCCTTTGCCCGTGCCGAATGAGGGGTCGTTAGAAGACAGCGAAGAATTGCCAGCCCAGAGATACGAGCGAGATTTGGTCCAGAAGCTGAAGATACTCAGGCACGAACTCTCTCTCCAGCAACCTCAAGCTGGTCACTGCCGCATTGAAGTATCAAGGGAAGAAATATTCGAGGTACATATGTTTGCGAGGACTGTTACGTAGAGTCAAGGCTTTCAAGTACTTATGTGGAATTGCTCTACATTTCTGCAGCTGGTGCTTGCATTAAAATAAACACTGCCCTCCATAAGGCCTAAAATTTCATAATATTTACATGGAGTTTAGACCCAAGATAGAAATAAAACACTGCTTGCTTCCATGTGTTTAACTTTGTTGTTGTTTTGTTTATTTACATTTTTTTCTCTTCAAGACACACAGTACCGGGGAATAATACATTGGCAGCCTCTCCCAATCCAAATATTGCCTCATGGTCTTTGAACTGAATTTCTAGTAGTCATAATTAGCATGGTATCTGGAGGATCGCATTGCTACAACTCATGGTTGTAGAGGCTACTTAACACTAAATGTATGGTATAAAACTTGCTTGAAGTCAGTTGGGTGAATCCTGAAATGAATGTAAAATCATTCCAGACTCTGGGTTGTTGTGAGTTTTCTGGGCTGTATGGTCATATTCCTGAAGCATTCTTTCCTGACGTTTCTCCTGCATCTATGGCAGGCATCCTCAGAGCTTGTGAGAACTGTTGGAAACAAGGAAAGTAAGGTTTTATATATCTGTGGAATGTCCAGGATGGGAGAAAGAACTCTTGTCTGTTGGAGGTAGGTGTAAATGTTTCAATTGGCCACCTTGATCAGCATTTGATGGCCTAGCTGTTTCAAGGTTGACTACTTACTGCCTGGGGACAGGGCCTTCTTGGCGGTGGCCCCACGACTCTGGAACTCCCTCCCCAAGGACATCAGGCAGGCTCCAACGTTGGCAGTCTTTAGAAGGAGCTTGAAAACGTGGATGTTCCAGTGTGCCTTCCCAGAATAAGCAATCCTAAGCAATACATTCTAAATGCACTTTACGAGAGACTTAGAACTGTCTGCATGCCCACCTGTCCCAAAAATATCCCTCCTATTTTCCCTTGGACATACCCAGCATTTTAAAATTTTTAATTCTTACATTTGGCCCTGCCACAGGTTTTAAAAATGTGTCGTGTTATTATTGTATTGTTTTCGCTTTTATGAGTTATTTATTGTTGTTTTGTTGTTGTTATGTTTTATGATGTATTTGTGCTCGGCCTCTTGTAAGCTGCACCGAGTCCTGCGGGAGATGGTAGCGGGGTATAAATAAAGGTTTATTATTATTTATTATGGGGGGATCCTTTGTTCGGAGTTGATTAGCTATCCTGATTGTTTCTGGTCTGGAATTCCCTTGTTTTTGGGTGTTCTTTACTTACTGTTATGATTTTAGAGGGTTTTTTGTACTGGTAGCCAGATTTTGCTCATTTTCATGGTTTATTTACAGTATTTGTATACTGTAAATAAAGTCCCCCCCGAGGGGGACTCAAAGTGGTTTCTTCCTTTCTGCTGAAATTGTCCACATGCTTGTGGATTTCAATGGCTTCTTCGTGTAGTCTCACATGGTGGTTGTGGGTGTGGTCCAGCATTTCTGTGCTCTCAAATCATGTGCTGTGTCCAGGTTGGTTCATCAAGTGCATTCACTCCTACCTCCAACAGACAAGAGTTCTTTCTGCCACCATGGACATTCCACGGATATATAAGCCTCATTTTCCTAGTTTCCAACGGACCTCACAACCTCTGAGGATGCCTGCCATAGATGCAGGAGAAACATCAGGAGAGAATGCTTCAGGAGCATGGACATACAGCCCGGAAAACTCACAACAACCCAGCGATTCTGGCCATGAAAGCCTTCGACAATACATTTGAGGCTCATTTGAAAGAAATATTATCCTCTAAGGAAGACTTTAATTCATTCCTGGAACACTTAATATCTTTAAATGCTGAGCTATGTGCAAGAATGAGCTTTTCTAGATAAGGTGAAAAGTTGTTAGTGTCCTAAACATTCCTTGTATTTCTCTAGGAATCATACCGCCAGATCATGAAGATGAGGCCCAAAGATTTGAAGAAGAGATTGATGGTAAAGTTTCGAGGAGAAGAAGGCTTGGATTACGGCGGAGTGGCAAGGTATTGCAAATATTGCAGAAACAAATTCAGGGAAATTTGTTTCCTTTGCCATCTTATAATGAATGCATGAGGAGCTAATGGTCGACAATGATTTATTGCTGCAAGGATGAGCTTATGCAAGCCCCAGACTTGTGCACCGGTAGAAAGGTAGGAACTCCACTGCCAGAATTGAGGTTTTCCCTCTCAGCCAAACCCCGAAGTGTATCTGGTCGTCATTTGTGTGTATGTGCTTTCGAGTCGTTTTCTTAGGCAAGCAACATTCAGAGGCAGTTTTGCCAGTTCTTCTCCTGAAACATGACCCCTTGGTATTTGTTGGCGGTCTCCCGTTTAAAGACTAACCAGGGCTGACTCTGCTTAATTCCCAAGATCAGACTGGATCTGGAGCCTTTCAGGTATTTCTGCCCATTAGTCATGTAGCTTATTAAAAGAAAACAAAACTTCCAAGTTCACTACTTTTCTGGGAAACAAGCTAATGTAAGACTAACCACAATTTGTCCACTTCCAAACAATGCTGCATGTTGCTATTAATATAAAATACATGGCCAAAGCTTCCATTTTTTCTCAGGTGTACTGGATTGAGGAGCAAGAGAAACCAAAGCTCTCACAGACCTAAAGCTTCTTGGAGACCTTCTGTCATATTATTAAACTGACATAGAATTAGCCTTAACAGCCTAAGAATTAGAATACAGTAGAATTGACAAGAAGCAACTTGGAAAAGCTGACACAATATGAGGATTTAAAGATAGAACTGCAAAGACTCAGGCACAGGCCAGTCAAGGTGGTCCCAGTGGTGATCAGTACTCTGGGTGCAGTGCCTAAAGAAAACAAAAAAATAATAAATTATATATATGTATGACAAAATAAAACCAGACCCATTTTTCACTCCTTTTTCCTTCTCTTCCTTTCTCTTCTTCAGTTTTTTGGTTAAGCTGGTTATACAAACAGCTGTCTGATTAGTGATTCTATGTACCCCTCCCGTAATACATTTTTTGGAGTTTTGCAAGCAAAGAATTTCTAGCATAAGCAAACACTTTCTCGGTCTTTTCTGCTCCTTTTATCACTTTTTTGAAACTCTTTGAGATTCTTTTTAGAGAGAAAGAGTGGGGAATAAATAAACATAATGCTGAGCTGCTGAACTTGTCACAGGTTTGAATCTGGGGAGTGGCATGAGTTCCAGCTTCTGCCAACCTAGCAGTTCAAAAACATGCAAATGTGAGTAGATCAATAGGTACTGCTCCCGCCAGCCACATGACCTTGGAGAGGTGTCTACAATGTTGGCTCTTCAGTTTAGAAATGGAGATGAACACTAACCCCTACAGTTGGACATGACTGGACTTAATGTCAGGGGAAAACCTTTACCTTTACCTAATGGTAATGGTAATAATAATTACCATTCTGACACGATATGAGGATTTAAAGATCACACTGCAAAGACTGGCACAAGCCAGTAAAGGTGGCCCCAGTGGTGATCGGCACACTGGGTGCAGTGCCTAAAAACCTTGGCCTGCACTTGAACACAATCGGCACTGACCAAATTACCATCTGCCAGCTGCAGAAGGCCACCTTACTGGGATCTGCACGCATTATTCGTCGATACATCACACAGTCCTAGACACTTGGGAAGTGTCCTACATGTGATCCAATACAGCAGCCAGCATAGTAATCTTGTTTGTTGTGTACTAATCTTGTTATGTATTAAATAATAATAGTAAAGGTGGTCCCAGTGGTGATCGGCACACTGGGTGCAGTGCCTAAAGACCTTGGCCGCACTTAAACACAGTCAGTGCTGACAAAATTACCACCTGTCAGCTGCAAAAGGCCACCCTACTTGGATCAGCACACATGATTTGCCAATACATCACATAGTCCTAGACACTTGGGAAGTGTCCTACATGTGATCCAATACAGCAGCCAGCATAGTAATCTTGTTTTTTGTGTACTAATCTTGTTATGTATTAAATAATAATAGTAAAGGTGGTCCCAGTGGTGATCGGCACACTGGGTGCAGTGCCTAAAGACCTTGGCCTCCACTTAAACACAGTCAGTGCTGACAAAATTACCACCTGTCAGTTGCAAAATGCCACACTACTTTGATCTGCACACATTATTTGCCGATACATCACATAGTCCTAGACACTTGGGAAGTGTCCAAAGTGTGATCCAATGCAGCAGCCAGCATAGTAATCTTGTTTGCTGTGTACTAATCTTGTTATGTATTAAATAATAATAGTAAGGGTGGCCCCAGTGGTGATCGGCACACTGGGTGCAGTGCCTAAAAACCTTGGCCTGCACTTGAACACAATCGGCGCTGACAAAATTACTAACTGCAAAATGCTTGGATCTGTATGAATTATTTGCCGATACATCCCACAATCCTAGACACTTGGGAAGTGTCTGACGTGTGATCCAATACAACAACCAGCATGGTGATCTTGTTTGCTGTGTACTAATCTTGTTGTGTATCAAATAATAATAATAATAATTCACAAGTCGGAAAAAGTTACAGAAAATGAACACGCCAAACTCCTCTGGGACTTCCAGATTCTGACAGAGTTTGGAGCATAATACTCCTGACCTCACAATTGTGTTAAAAAACGAAGTATGAATCGTCGATGTCGCAATCCCAGGTGACAGCAGGATTGCAGAGAAACAACTGGAAAAGCTGACATGATATGAGGATTGCAAAGACTCCAGCACAAACAACTGGAAAAGCTGACACGAACTGCAAAGACTGGCACAAGCCAGTCAAGGGTGTCCCAGTGGTGATCGGCACACTGGGTGTAGTGCCTAAAGACCTTGGCCTGCACTTAAAAACAATCAACGCTGACAAAATTACCATCTGTCAGCTGCAAAAGGCCACCCTACTTGGATTTGCATTAATTATTTGCCGATACATCACATAGTCCTAGACACTTGGGAAATATTTGACATGTGATCCAATACAACAGCAAGCATTGCGATCTTGTTTGCTGTGTACTAATTTTGTTGTGTATAAAATAACAACAACAATAATAATAGCCATAAGGAGAGGTGGATAATTATTGTTGTTATTGTGTTGTTGTTCTTCTTCCCAACTTCTGGTGTGTTGGATTGCCAGCCAACATAGAAATCACAATTCTTACTGAAACAAAAGCAGAAAAAATGATCAAAGTAGTCAAAACGTTTGCATTTCAATTGACTCAGGCAACCTTGAAGTTATATAGACTTGTAACAGGCCAATATGTGTGTTCCCTTTGGAGATGTGTAGCCTTGAAAGCTTATACATCCGTGGTAGGAATTGTACCTCCTTCAGCGGTCCTAGTCAGCATATTTGGTGACTCGAAATGCTGGGAGTTGCCGTTCGGCAGCATCCGGAGGGCTACGCGGCCGCTCCAAACTCTGGTGCTCATCCTGTCCATGCCAGTTGGCTCTCCCCCTCCAAACATTGCAGAGTCATGCTTAAGCTGGCATTCATCTTCATCCCAGCGTAAAATTAAATCCTTTGGGAGGATCTGCCTAAAACAGACAGGCACGCATGCAGTCATTTTCTTTGTCCCTGTGCGGATAATAATCAGACTTATTTTTCAGCCTTAGAAATAACTGAAAAGCTTACTTACTCAGGCGATCCCTCATTGGACGAGTAAGATGGTCTTCCTTGATGACTATTTTTGTGGGTTTGTAGGTGGCTGTGGAGCCCTATTCTTGACCCACATCTTCTCCCACAGTGAAGGCATTGGTTTCCAGGTGGAAGGCGGTCCCGGTCGGGGTTGGCTTGACGCGCCTTCCTCCTGGCACGTTTCTCTCTTTCACCCTCCATTCGTGCATTCGTGCATCCTTGAATTCTGCAGCACTGCTGGTCACAGCTGACCTCCAGCTGGAGCGGTCACGGGCCAGGGCTTCCCAGTTCTCAGTGTCTATGCCAGAGTTTTTAAGGTTGGCTTTGAGGCCATCTTTAAATCTCTTTTCCTGTCCACCAACGTTCCGTTTTCCATTCTTAAGTTCAGAGTAGAGCAACTGCTTTGGGAGACGGTGGTCAGGCATCCAGACAACGTGGCCGGTCCAGCGGAGTTGGTGGCGGAGGACCATCACTTCAATGCTGGTGGTCTTTGCTTCTTTCAGCACGCTGACGTTTGTCCGCTTGTCTTCCCAAGATATTTGCAGGATTTTCCGTATCGTTCCAGGAGTTGCATGTGACGTCTGTAGACAGTCCACGTCTCGCGGGCATAGAGCAGGGTTGGGAGGACAATAGCTTTATAGACAAGCACCTTGGTATCCCTATGGATGTACCGGTCCTCAAACACTCTCTGCTTCATTCGGGAAAATGCTGCACTCGCAGAGCTCAGGCGGTGTTGTATTTCGGTGTCGATGTTGACTTTGGTGGAGAGGTGGCTGCCAAGGTAGCGGAAATGGTCAACATTTTCTAATGTTACACCATTAAGCTGTATTTCTGGAATTGGAGAGGGATTGGCTGGTTCCTTACTTACTTAGGCGATCCCTCTCTGGCATTGGGGAGGGGATGGCTGGTGACTGCTGGAACAGCACTTTGGTTTTCTCGATGTTCATTGACAGGCCAAGCTTCGTGTATGCTTCTGCGAAGGTGTTTAGAATGGCTTGTAGATCTTCTTCTGAATGCGCACAGATGACATTGTCATCAGCATACTGGAGTTCTGTAAAATGTTGTTGTAACCTTGGTTTTGGCTTTCAGTCTGCTGAGGTTAAACAGCTTGCCATCTGTCTGATAGATGATTTCCACTCGGGTGGGAAGCTTCCCGTCAACAAGGTGAAGTATCATAGCGATGAAGATGGAGAATAAAGTTGGGGCAATAACACATCCCTGTTTGACACATCCCTGTCCTTTCAATTAATGTAGAACAGGCATGGGTAAACTTGGGCCCTCCCTCCAGGAGTTGTGGACTTCAACTCCCACAATTCCTAACAGCCTACCGACTGTTAGGAATTGTGGGAGTTGAAGTCCAAAACACCTGGAGGGCCCAAGTTTGCCCATGCCTGTTGTAGAACTTGCTGCATTCCTCCCAGTGATGCGCCTGTGTTTTGTCCTGGGATCCTCTTGCCTCTGAGCTATTGTTTCCTGGGCTTGGCAGCTCTTCCAAGGGCTCAGGGCGTCAGCAGCTAAAATCACCCTGAGTAAGGCTGTTTTTTGTCTCGCTCCGCTGATATATCCCCTAATCTTAAACACTCTAGACAAAATTCTTCCCGTCTGAGAGCGCTTCCTTTTTGACCTCTCCCTTGTCATCACTGGCATGTTGCAAGAGTTTCTTTATCTTGTCTGCGCTTTAGAGCTGTCTAGACAGTTGCTGAATCCGCTGGGGCTGGCTTAGCCAAATGTCTCCTCTTGAGCTTCAGGGGGATCCTCATTGGGCAATTAAGCTCCCTTATTATCTCAGGGTAATAACTCTCAACATACCATGACTACTGTCGCACGGAAGTGTCAGTCACCTTTTTTCCCCTTAGAAACTTAACTTCCCATAAAAAGTGTTCATTCCTTTGCGTTTAGCTCTTTCCTTTTTTATCAGATGCATCTAAGCCAGGTATGGGCAAACCCAGGCCTAGGGGGCGGAGATGGCCCCTGGGTTCACTTCTTAGACCCTCCTCTCGCTCACCACCCTATCCTTCCTTCCTTCTCTCTTTCCTTCCTCCTTCTCTCCTTCCCTCCCTTCCTCCTTCCTTCCCTTTCACCCTTTCATCCTTCTCTCCCTCTTTCTCCTTCCTGCCTACCTTCCTTCTTTCCTTCTTTCCTTCCTTCCTTCCTTCCTTCCCTCCCTTTTGTTTTCCTTCTCTTTTTCCTCCTTCCCCTCCCTCTTTCTCCCTTCCTCCATTCCCTTCCACACTTTCCTCCTTCCTTCCTTCTCTCTTTCCTTCCTCTTTCCCTCCCTCCCTCCTTTCCATCCTTCCCTTCCATCCTTTTGTCTTTCCCTCCCTTTTTTTTCCTTCCTTCTCTCTTTCCTTCCTCCTTACCTCCCTCTTTCTCCTTCCATCCCCCCTTCCATCCTTTCATCCTTCCTTCCCTCTTCCATCCCTCCCTCCCTCTCCTTCCATCCATCCATCCATCCATCCATCCATCCATCCATCCATCCATCCATCCTTTATGTCTTTCCTTCTTTCTCTTTCCTTTATCCTTCCTTTCCTTCCATCCTCTTTTTCCTTCCTCCTTCCTTTTCTTCCATCGTACCCTTTCATCCTTCCTTCCCTTTTGTCTATTCTTCCTTCTGTCTTTCCTTTGTCCTTCATTTCCTTCCTTTCATCCTTCCTCTTTTTCCTTCTTGCTTTCCTTCCTTTCATCCATCCTTCCCTTCTACCCTTTCATCCTTCCATCTTGTCTTTTTCTTCCCTCTTTCCTCCCTCTTTTCCTTTCTCCTCCCCTCCTCCCTCCTTCCTTCCCTTTCACCCTTCTCTCCCTCTTTCTCCTTCCTTCCTTCCCTTTTGTCTTTCTTCCCTCTTTCCTTCCCCTCTCCCTTCTTTCCATCCTTCCCTTCCACCCTTTTGTCTTTCCTTCCTTCTCTCTTTCCTTCCTTCTTACCTCCCTCTTTTACTTCCCTCTTTCTCCTTCCATCTTTCCCTTCCACCTTTTCGTCCTTTCTTCCTTCCCTCTTTCCTCCCTCTCTCCCTTTTTCTCCTTCCTTCCATTGTGTCTTTCCTTCCTTCCCTCTTTCCTTTATCCTTCTCTTCCTTCCATCCTCTTTTTTCCTTCCTCATTCCCTTCCATCCTTCCCTTTTGTCTTTCCCTCCTTCTGTCTTTCCTTTATCCTTCCTTTCCTTCCATTTTTCCTCTTTTTCCTTCTTCCTTACCTTCCTTCCATCCTTCCCTTCTACCCTTTCATCCTTCCCCTTTGTCTTTTTCTTCCCTCTTCCCTCCCTCCTTCCCTCTCTTCTTCTTTCTCCTCCCTTCCCTTTTCTCTCTCTTTCCTTTATCCTTCCCTTCCTTCCATCCATCCTCTTTTTCCTTCCTCCTTCTCTTCCTTCCATTCTTCGCTTCCACCTTTTCATCCTTCCTTCTCATTTGTCTTCCCTTCCTTCCTTCCATCCTTCCTCTTTTTCCTTCCTCCTCTTCCTTCCATTCTTCGCTTCCACCTTTTCATCCTTCCTTCTCATTTGTCTTCCCTTCCTTCCTTCCTTCCATCCTTCCTCTTTTTCCTTCCTCCTTCTCTTCCTTCCATTCTTCCCTTCCCCCTTTTCATCCTTCCTTCTCATTTGTCTTCCCTTCCTTCCCTCTTTCCTCCCTCCTTTCCTCTCTTCCTCTTTCTCTTTCCACCCTTCCCTTCCTCCCTTTTTGTCCTTCCTTCCATCTCTCTTTCCTTCCTCCTTCCCTCCCTTCCTTCCATCACTGGACATCCAGTCCTCCTAGCAGGGACTACTAGTTAGGAAGTTTGTCCAGGCCTGATCTAAGCACTACTTGGAGATTTCTTCTTGTATTATTTACTATAATAGCATTTGCAACAAGAAAAAAATATGGAGAAAGAGAGGAAGAGCATTAGATCAAGTCCTCCCTTTTTAAATAGAGCCTTGCGGTTTGTAATAGCTAATTAACAGATCATCACTTGATAATGCAAAGTGACCTACTTTCTGTATGCTCTCATTGCATTGGGTTGGGAGCCAAAGAGTTCCCGTGCCAGCCAACGAGTGCTTGTACTTATTTTCCCAAGAGAGGCTAATCAAAGGAATAATAATGTCTTAATTTGTCACCATTTATCCAATTAACTCTGGAGACTTTTTTCCTTTGGAGATATTTGTACTCCGTGAATAAGAGATTCCTGCTTTAATGGGCAGGTAAGCTTTCGCTTTTGTACAAAATCTCTGCAGAATGTATAACACCCCTGTTGCTTTCTTTCTTTTTACAGGGAGTGGTTATACCTATTGTGCCATGAAATGTTGAACCCATATTATGGACTCTTCCAGTACTCAACAGATAACATTTACATGCTGCAGATAAATCCAGACTCTTCTATCAATCCCGTAAGTATCATAAAACACGAATATTTGTACAGTTTGCTTGTGATGTGTATTAGGGAAAAAAATATGGAAATTTTGGCAGGATACAAAAAGGAACTCAAATGCTTCTTTGTGGCTTCGGACATGGATTGTTCACACAAAATCAACCCCTTTGAAGCGGAAAAGTCTCTAAAGCAGTGCCCCCAATTTGGAAGGAGATTGGGGGCCAAATATTCAATGAATTTGTACAATATATTGGATACGTCTTAAATTCCCAGGCTCCTATTAAGTATTCAGACTACCGTATATACTTGAGTATAAACCGAGTTTTTCAGCCCTTTTTTAAGGCTGACAAAGCTCCCCTGGGCTTATAATCAAGTCAGTCATTTATTATTTTACTGTATTTCTTATTATTACTATTACATTTACATTATTTTACTCTATTATTATTTTATTACATTTATTATTTTACTCAATTATTAGTATGACATTTATTATTTTATTCTATGTTATTACATTTATTATTTTACTCTATTATTAGTATGACATTTATTATTTTACTCTATTATTATTTTATTACTTTTATTATTTTACTCTATTATTAGTATTACATGTATTATTTTACTCTATTATTAGTATTACATTTATTATTTTACTCTTTATAATTATTACATTATTACTTTACTCTTTATTATTATTACATTATTATTTTATTACATTATTATTTTATTCTATTATTACATTTATTATTTTACTCTATTATTAGTATTACATTTATTATTTTATTCTGTGTTATTACATTTATTATTTTACTCTATTATTATTACATTATTATTTTACTCTTTATTATTACTGCATTATTATTTTACTCTATTGTTATTATTATATTTATTATTTTACTCTATGTTATTACATTTATTTCCTGTCGTAGTCACTGTGAATCATACATGTGGTATTTGCGCCTGCGCAATACAGCTTTTCGGAACCTTCTAGAAATAAAAGTATCAAACAAACCCCAGCTAGACCCGCCCACCCTCCCTCGAGTATAAGTAGCCCGTGGGCGGGGCTAGCCATCAGTTCTCTTCTCCGCGCCCTTTGGCAAGACAGCTTGAGAACCTCTCTCCTTTGCGAGCAATTTTACGATCGTTTTTCCTGGCTTTGACTGGACTGTTTTCGACCAAGGTATTGCCTAATCCTCTGGACTGACTGCTAGAATCGTGATTGACCCGGATTGCTGACCATTCTATTGCCTGCCCACTCATTCGAAGTGCGATGGCTACTACTTCCTTCAAAAAATGCTTAAAGTGCCCCAATACTTACCCAGACATGGACGGACACTCCCTCTGCCTGGCTTGTCTGGGCGAGGGGCATCTGACTCAGTCTTGTGCCATTTGCATGGCGTTCACCCCTCAAACGAGGAAGAATCGGGAGGTGCGGCTCAAGGCTGCACTATATGAGAGAGCGCTCATGCCTCCAACCACCGCTCCTCAAAAGGCCCCCTCAGCGGCCGCTGCTGCGTCCCTTTTGGGCCTGCCCCTTGGGCCTCCAAAAAAGAAGCAAAAGGCTCCCAAGGAAAGCGCCCCGAAAGATGGCCGCCAGAAAGCTCCTGTTAAAAAGGCGGCATCTAAAAGAGCGGGAAACCCCTCTTCATCTTCGGCCGCCTCCGCCCTCCCTCCCCTCCCGGTGACTCATGAGCAGCACGGACGCCCCCTGGGGGCTGACCCGATGGCGGCAGGAGACGGGCCAATATGCTCTCCGTACCCAACCCAGGGAGGACCGAGCTCGGGCCCCTCGCTCACACCTGCGATGCCGGTGCTCTCACCCCCGGAGAGATTGAGACCTTCGGAGCTTCCCAGCGAAGGGCCGCCTGATGCCCCAGTGGGGGAGCCCTCGCTGAGCAGAGAGATCGCGATCCCGGCGGCTGCCACAGAATCGATCGCTTCCAGCAGCCAAGCCTTTGGGGGCATATTTAATGCTCCCATACCTACCAATTTAACTTTGACTGCTGGGATGGCTTCTCCGATACCGGAAACTCTCCCATCCGCCGATACGGGACCGCTGTTTCTGACTCCTCCCTCCGGCATGGGAGGATTACCAGGGGAAGCGCCGCCCACACGTTCGCTTGCTATACTAACCCCGCCCTCCCAGACGGGCGAGAGAGCCCCTCCCTCTCCTCAAGGATCCAGCCGTTCGGTGCGGCGACAGAGGCGTTCCCGTTCCCCTTCCCGAAGGAACAGGGGAACTCGTCGGCGGCGGTACCGCTCCCCCTCAAGGGGCGTGTCAAGGTCCAGACGCTCTTCACGTCGCTCTTCTTCGTCCTCCTCCTCCTCGTCTTCCTCCTCCTCCTCAGCTGGTTCCAGGCGTCGACGGCGCTCTCGGATGACACGCTCTCGATCCCGGAGGCACTATGGACCCAGGCCTATGCAACCGCCAGGCTACTGGCAGATGGGCCCATCGGGACAGTTAATCTTCATTCCGGCCCCGATCCAGATGCAGTCGACTTGTATGCCTACTGCTTTGGGAGGTTTACAACCTGAGCCCCCGCGCGCAGCAGAGACTGCCCCAAACAGGGCCGGGACGCCTGCCTTCCCAGAGACTAGGCCCGCTCCAGCAGCAAACACTTCTTTGCCAACAGGTACTGACAATGGTCCGAACCGGACCCTCTCTAACATGCCTATAAGCAATGATCGGGCTGGTTACAACCAAGGCAGACCTACAGAGGGACTGTCTGCTGGGACTAATATGGACAATATTTGTGTGGATTTATTGTGTAGACCCCCTAACTGTGTTGATCTCTCTCTGTGCGGACCTTCGGATGGGCACGTTGCTATGGATCACTTCCCTGGATCGGGTGAGGGAGCACAATCTGCTCAAACTGGTTTAGCCTTACCTGCCACCCCAATGGGAACCCCGGGGGGCCCGGCCCAAGAGGGGGTAGAGTTAGGGGAAATTGATTCGGATACTGAGGCTTTAGAGGCACAGCAACAGATGGGGACTGATGATCCATCTGCGTTGCCCCCTGACTTCCACAAGTTTGCAGCGCTTATAGACCGTATGATAAAAGCATTGGACATCCCCGCTCCTAAACCCCCTGACCACATAGAAGATCCGATGTTCCCCTCCGAGGAACAAGCCTCCACCCCTTCCTCGGCCCTCCCAATGCTACCATACCTCCTGAAACTAGCAAAGATTGTGGATATGCCCCCATCATCTGTGCCGGCAGTCCCCAGGCGTTTGGACTCCATGTATAAGATCGAACTGTCCAACGCTAAGTGGGTTATAGCCCCTCCGAAACCGAACACTGTGGTGGCTGAAGTCATCAAAACCAAACGCCCCAAAAACTCTGTGACCGCCCCACCAGATAGGGAGGGCAGGAAGTTAGACACACTAGGTAAAAAGGCCTACTTCTCAGCCAGTTTGTTCACTCGTATGTCGCATTACGCGACTTATATGAGTGGATATCAAACGTTCCTTTGGAACAGGATGCTACCCCACATCGAGTCTCTCCCACAGGATGCCCAACGCTTCCCTAGAGCCTTACATGGGGAGGCCTTAGCGTTATCCAAAATCCAAAAGGACTTCGCTAAACACATGGCGGAGACGGCGGGCAACTTGTTCGCCACCGCCACATCAATAAGGCGCCACGCGTGGTTGCGGGCGGCTAACCTCTCGGAGGAGGGAAAAGCCTTAGCGGAAGACCTTCCCTTCCACGAGGAAGGACTCTTCAACCCTAATACTGATGACCGGATGAAACAAAAGCAAGACGTCAGACAATCGGCGTCAAAATTCGGTTACACTTGGCAGCCGTACCCCCAGCCCAGAACTAGGTGGCAGTCCCCCTCCCCCTACCGAAGGCCTTATGGGAACTCCTTTTCAGGTCCCTTTAGAAACAAGTCGGGAGGAAACGCTAGGTTTCAAGGGGGCAGGAAAACTCCTTACTTCCAAAAACCCAAGGCGCAGCCCTTCCAAGGGAAGACCAGGGCTGCAGGCGCCTCTAGGAAGCGCCTTTGATGACGATATGAGGTCGGACGTTGTGTCCCTTCAGCCCCCACTGCCCACTACTATGGTTAACTCCCAAGTTACAAATCCTTTCCCTCACTGCCTTTCTATCCCGACACAGGCACAACAAGCGTTACCCCAGTCAGGGCCGTTGCCCTTCTTCCTGGATAGGCTCGCACCCTTTGGTGCACAATGGGCTAGCATAACCTCTGACAACTGGGTCCTGTCTATTGTCCTTGGGGGGTACTCTATAGAGTTTGATGACCTTCCTAGAGTAGGCCATGTGAGAGATACCACTGCTTCCCCGCAGCTGTTAGACGAGGTTAATATGTTATTACAAAAAGGGGCCATCTCGCCGGTAGACCCCGAAACTTCCTCGTTTTGCTTCTATTCACGTTACTTTTTGATTGACAAACGCGGTGGTGGGCTGCGTCCCATTCTGGATTTACGTCTACTCAATAAACATGTTAAGCCAAAGAGGTTTCGGATGGTAACTCTTGCCTCAATTACCCCCCTTCTATCTAGAGGTGCATGGTTCGCCACGGTGGACCTCAAAGACGCATATTTTCATATCTCCATTGCCTCCCACCACCGGAGGTTTCTTGCGTTTAGAGTGTCGGGACAAACTTACTGTTTTAATGTTTTACCCTTTGGGCTTTCATCCGCCCCCCGGGTCTTCACCAAGTGTATGGCCGTGGTTGCAGCACACCTTAGGACTAAGGGCGTCACGGTTTACCCGTACATTGATGATTGGCTGATTGTAGCGAAATCCTACCACCAACTACAAATAAATGTTTCTACGGTTTTGTCTCTCCTACAGTCCTTGGGCTTGGTCGTCAACCGGGAGAAGTCGGTCTTGGTGCCGTCCCAACGCATCCATTTCATCGGGGCGCTACTGGATTCGGTTTCCGAGACGGCGTCCCTTCCGTCGGATCGCTTTGCCAACCTCCGAGACCTGGTGCTACAGACCATCAGAGCACGACATGTCTCAGCCAAGCACGTTCAAATTCTGTTGGGACACATGG